AACCTCCACTGACTGTGAGCTAAATAAACCTTTCCTTCCTTCATTTTGAGTGTTCAGTATTTGTCCCAGCAACAAGAGAAGAGTAACCAAGACACTGGGGCAGGAAGATCACTGAGTGTTTGAGGCCAGCATGAGATCCAATCTCAAAAGCCCTAAATATTGAGGAATGCTAATGCTTGAGAAGAAGCTACCAGAAAGACGGTCCTGAAGGACTTTCATGCCAACCCGGAGACAGACTGGGGCATGTTTTTAGTATTGAGGGTGAACACAGGAGTGGGTGCTGTACAGGCAGATGTGCAGGCGCTGAGTTGGTAGAGGGCATGGCATGCGATGTGCAGTGTGTGCAGTGGCCTCAGTGGGTCAAGTTTTGCTATCTCTCTGCCCTACTCCATCTCAGCAGTTGCCAAACATGGACCCCAAACCCACTCTGGACTTGCCCCTGGCTGAGCTGGCCTATAGGCTGTGGGCTGGGGAGCTGAGTCTGGAGAGAGTGCTCTGTGACAGTGATGGTGAACCTTTTAGAAACCAAGTGCCCAAGTGCAACCCCAAACCCTTTTATTTATTTGAAAGTGCCAACACTGAAATTAAGCAGGAATATTGAGGATTTAGTTCAGAAAAATCAACTGTTATCTGATACTTGGCCATGGGGGCAACTTGGGTACAGCCGACTAACAGAGAGGGTTCTGCATGCCTGCTGGCGCACACGTGCCTTAGGCTTCTACCACTGCTCTATAACTACTTAGAAGAGGTGGGGAACTTGCCAAACAAAAAAAAAAAAAGAGAAGCTGAATGCCAGGAATCCGTAAGACCAGAAAAATTGTGACCTATAGAAAAGTTGGAAAGACAGCTCACAGAGAAAAGAAGGGAAAAAATTGGGATCTCTCCCTGGGTTTTGAGACTGTGGAGAGGGGAGCTAGGTTCCCAGATGCAAGGTAAGCCTGAAGTGGTGGGAGATAAGGGAGAAACTGCCGGGGAGACCATGGCCTCTGTGAGGTGTGAGGTTTTGTTCCACGGGTTCTCCTCTCACACAGCAGGCAGCAACTAGACAGGGGTTCTAGCATGGCATCCACCATACCATATTGCCAGAGACTTGATCAGGTGCCATTTCAGGAAAAGGTTGACTCTCTAAATATGAGACTCAGAACAACTAAAAAACAATTTTACCTCACATCTCAGGGCTCCCAGCATTACCCTCCTATCATGACTGGGTGAAAGATACCCATGGGACACAGCTTCAAAGAAGGAATGAATTAGAAGTAGATGCCCTAAGAAGTCTAAATGCAGGATGAGACACACACAGGCCTCACTCCTCCCCTGAGAAGCCAGGCCAACTGGAGTTGTCCTCAGAAACACCTAGGTCTGACAGTACCTGTGGACAGTGAGTACTTGAACCCTCACCCTGCTGCCTACATCTAGCACAGATCTGAGATCTGATTACCTTCTCTCTCCACCAGTGAGAGCAAGGACACATCTCAGCAAGCACATTGCTGCAGCCTGGGGCTAACTGTGATGCAAAGAAGACTAAGGTCAACTGGATTAAGTGAAAAAACAGAAGACAAAACCAAGGGCATAAAAAACCTGTTCATAGAAATATTAGCTGAAAAAGTTACAAATATTGGAAAAGAAATATACAAATGAGTGAGACATATAGATCTACAAATAACCATGACAGAAAGAGAACCTTTCCACATTGTACTATACGCCAAGTATCAGGAGTCCAACCTAAGGGCCGTGAGATGGCAAGATAGCTCAGCAGACTAAGCGTTCGATCCCTGGTCCTGCATGCTGTGCTGGCCCCACCCTGAGGGCGTGCTGAGCCAACAACTGAGTCCAGGCTTGGTGGCGCATGCCTGTAATCCCAGAGCTGGGGAGGCTGAAGACAGGAGGATCACTATGAGTCTGACCAGCGTAGTGAGACCCTGTATGAGACTGGTGTGATGACACACGCCTGTAATCCCAGCACTTGGGAGGCTGAAAACAGGAGAATCACTGAGTCCAATCTATGTAGTGAGGCCCTGTAGACCCTGTACTAAATACATAAAAAATGTCTCCCTTTTTCTACATACTTCTGCAGCCTATAATACCAATTTTGTCATTAAAGCACATTATTGTAAGTGTATAATACCCACATTTGCTGTTTAGAATATTTCTATTAATGAATAATTAATTTTAATTTTATATATTTTATTAAATAATAGGTACTTAATAGGAAAAACATAAATAATAAAGTATTAAATTTTAATGTTTATTGAGTATAGGAAAGTATTAGCCTGTAATCCCAGCATTTAGGAGGTTGAGGCAGGAGGATCAATATGAGTTTGAGGCCAGCCTGGGCTACAAAGACAGACCCTGTTTCAAAAAGCAAAAACTACAACAAAACAAAAAAATCCTCACACAACAGCAATAACAACAAAGAAAAAGTTAGGGTTTGAGGGGCAACTGAAATGAAAAAAATTGTTCAACAATTTTTTTTTATTTTTTATTTTTTATTTATTTATTTTTTTACCAGCTAATTTTACTTTAATAACAAGAATTTGACCTTCAAAAAAGAATGATGAGATTTAAGGGCACCATTTAAAATAATTTGGTGTTTTATGAGACAGCATTCATACATCTGCTTTCTTACACCAAATAGATTGGGAAATTACCAATCAGCACAACACCTAAAATAGTTTTAAGAAACAACTCCTGGGTACAGTATTACATAGCTTAATATTAATGACATTAAATAGACACATTATACAAAGAGAAAACCAGGGCTTAATACCTTATAAAACATTTACAAAGGAGTGAGTGAGATGACCCAGGCCACGGGATCCTGAACAGACCCGGAGCATAGGCCGGGGAGTGAGTGAGACCTCCCGGGCCCAGGGATCCTCCTTTGACCCAGGCTGCAGGCCCAGTAGGGAACCCTTCAGCAGAACTCCCTGCAAGGAGGCTAGAGGCAAGACCCACACAGCTGATTCAGGAGCAGAACATCTTGCCAAAGAGACACAAAGGGTTTAACTCTAACACCTGCAGCAGAAAGAAGTGGAGCACAGCAGC